TAAAAAAAGAAAGAGGAAGACTTTACACCCTTCTCGTTATTCAGATTCCTCTGGAATAAAGAGAATTGCAGATGGAAAAAACAAAAAAAAAGTTAGACTAAGGGATTATAGAGAGGAGTAGGCAACTTTTATTTTCCTTTTACCTTTCTTCTATACATTCTGAATTCTCTCCAAAGACATATAGTGCTTTTATTTAACCAAATGTTGAGCTCTAAAAAACTGAGAACACTCCCTACACTCTTCAAGACTGAGCCACAGATACCCATATGGTCTGACCTTTTCTTTTCTTTTTTTAATGTGACACAGGGTCTCACTACGCATCTCAGACTCATATAGATCCTCCTGTTTTCAGCCTCCCCATTGCTAAGATTACAGGCGTGTGCCACCATTCCCCGTCTCGGTGGCCAGCTCAGCATGCCCCGGCGCAGCATGTCATGCTAGGGATCGAAGCTGGTCCCTGCACTTGCCTAAGCAAGGGCTTAGACCACTAAGCTATCTCGACCGCCCCGGTCTGACCTTTTAACAGTTGTGAGGCACAAATCCTGAGATGTGAACACCATACCACCTGAACACTGATGGAAAAACCCAGCACAAATATCCTCATTCTACCTCCCATCTGAGCAGCCAAAAGCAAAGTGTAATCTAGAAACCACTGGTTTGGCAGGGGAGATGGCTCAGTGGAAATAAGCGCTTCCCTGGCAAGTGCAAGGGTCTGAGTTCAATTCCCGGTTCCACCAAAAAAAAAAAAAAAAAAAAAAAGGAAACCACTGGTTTACAGTAAGGTCTCCCCCTTAAAAGACTTTTCTGACTATGGCGCTAACTTGTGGCACTAAGTTATGACACTAACTTACACCTGACAAATATAATTTGCAATAACAAAGTACCCTGGGAGGTACTCAGGCTAAGGCCAGAGTCCTACCTGTAGTGGCCCCAGGCTACACTCCTCCGTAAGGGGAGCTGCTCTTCTTCCCTCTGCTCAATCCGAGCCTGCCATAAATTCCAGAACCTATGCAGTAACTGAAACAAAATAGAAATAAAATGGAAATATAATGGATGATCCTTAATTAAATCCTGGTGCGTTTTTTTTTTTTTTTTTTTTTAATTTTTAAAGCAGCTAAAAAGCCATTTTGGAGACAACTGTAGCAATGTGAACATGGACTGGATATTATTAAAGAACTGCTGTTAATTTTGCTGAGGACAATGATGATACTGTGGTTATATAAGAAACTAGTCTCCTTTTGGGGGTAATGCTTGCTGAAATGTTAGGGTACAAAGTATTATGACAGGGGGCCTGCCCCTTAGCTCAGCTCTTTAAGTGGCTGCTTCAAGAAAGCAGTCAGGCTCAGGTTGCTGTGGTTCATCCCCACAACTCAAGCCAGCCACTCATGCCTTGAAGGCATTCGGGGCAAAAAAAAAAAGTATCATGACATAATTTATTTAGAACTCATCCATGGAAAAAATTAAAACAGATACATACAGTAAATAGTAATAAATGTCACATCTAGGTCATGAATATATAGATGTTTATTATACTACTCTGTATTCTTGTATATTTAAACATTTTCATAAAACAACAACAAATTCTATCCTCCTATGCTCAGAAACAAAATTTACAAAGATAGACGCTTTCTGACCTTAGGTAAACCAATTACTGAAGCAAACATTTGCACTGGAAACACAAACATTGCCTCCCATAATGCAGAACTGAATGTATTTATTTTACCAAATCCTCTACCTCTCAGTTAAAATCCATGATCCCTGATCTCTGCGTCAACTATTAATTTTCTTAGCAGACAGATTAAAAATGGGATTAAATGAGGCAAAAGAACAAATTGCTCTGTTAGCAGCCATGGATTATCACAGAAAATAAGCATTAAAATTTTGTTTATTTTTTCTTAGTACTGGGGTTGAACCCAGGGCCTTGTGCTTGCTAGGAAAGCCCTCTGCCACTAAGCTATATGCCCAGCCAACCATTAACATTTTGTAGTCTAGGGGCTGGTTGATCCCCGGTACCACACTGTGCTGGCCCCATGCCAGCCACAGAAACTGGGCATAGTGGCACACGCCTATAATCCCAGCACTGGGGAGACTGAAACAGGAGAATCACTATGCATCCAAGCTGTGTAGCAACACCCTGTACCAAATAAATAAAAGATTTTTTTTTTTTAATTCTACTTAAAATTTTGTAGTCTAAAATCTGGACAAGGGGGCCTGCCCATTAGCTCAGTTGTTTTAGTGCCTGCTTAAGGAAAGCAGTCAGGCTCAGGATTCTGTGGTTCAATCCCCAGATCCTCATGCCTTACTAGACCTGCCCTGAGAGCATCCTGAGTGGACAAAAAAAAAAAAAAAAAAATCCTTCTAAAATCTGGACAAATCTCTGAGCACAAAGGTTACAAAAACAGAATGACCATCAGAAGGGGTCCCTTGAAATAGAAGATAACCCTTACCATGGTGTCATGCTGCCGGTGTGCAAGATTCCTTCTTATTCGCTGGAGATGGACTTGGGTCATATTGTCTTTTAGGGCTCTAAAGCAAAAATTCTATGTAAAGAACACAAGCGATTATAAAGAATTAGTAGGTGTTTACAGAAACAAGTACAGGCAAAGGAAAGCACTGCCCCAAATCAGGGTGAAAAGCTCAGGGCCGCTCATCTCCTTGAGTTTCTTTGCTTTGAGATTTAATCAGGAGCATAACACAAGCAGGCACCCACTAATATTGGCTGAAACAATCCCTACTGTCCACAGAACTGCACAGGAACAAACACACCCTCACCTCTGACCAAGAGGATCCCATGACCTAGATGAGACTTCTACAACAGAGGCCAAATAGCAATTTTTGCCTCTCAAAAACAAACAAACAAAAAAAAACACAGGCATTTTGCCTATGGTAGATTTTCGTCTTTTACTTTTATCTTTTACAATATAACTACATAATTTCTTCAATTATAAAAGCAGTGTTAGGCTGGTGAGATGGCTCAGTGGTCTAAAGCACCTACTTAGAACAAACTAAGCTAAGCAAAGCACAGGGACCACGGTTCAATCCCCCAGCACCACATGC